ATACAAAATGTTTCGAACTGGGGGACCTGCCTTTTTGTTTTACTAGTTTAAACCTGGGACTATTGCTCAGCCTATGTGTGATGACTTAAGGCTGAATCCCTGTCATAACTGAACGGGGCCATGCAATGCAATCTATATCATCAATAATAAACTAAATGAGTTTTTTCCTAAGTTCGGGGGTTAATCTCGTTCCCAGATGTACCTTTCTTTTGAGTGGTCGACTTGGTAGCATCGGGCTTTTCGGGGACATCGGAGGTTCGAGGAGATAGGAAGTTCCCTTCTTCACCTTCGGTTACCTATTTATCCTGCTTCCGTCTAGACTTGAGGTTGTGATTGCTACTTAGCCACCTATTTATCTTTGAGGCTCGACTACACCGAGGTTAAGGATTCCGGCATCGACACTGCTTTCTCGATTGGAAACATCTCTTTCGTAGCATGCTGCGCTCCGTGCACTATTTTCACCCCTTCCTTTGCTGGGAACTTCATCATCTGATGGAGCGTCGACGATACTGCCGTCATGTTCTGTATGCATGGTCTCCCGAGGAGTGAGTTATACCTCATGTCACCTTCGATGACATGGAACCTGGTGTCTTGTATGGTCTCGGCTACGTTTACTGGCAAAATTATTTTCTCCCTTTATTGTTTCACTTTCCATGTTGAAACCATTCCGCACCTGGGATGCAGGTACAATCTGATTTTGCAGGCCGAGTTATTTTACGACCCTCGATCTAATTATTTTTGCAGAGCTACCTGGATCCACTAAAACACGTTTAACCTGAACTTTATTTAAAAGGATGGAGATTACCAGGGCATCGTTGTTAGGCCGGGGTACGTCCTCTGCTTCCTCGTTACAGAACGATAGGGCGTCCTCGGGCACATAGCTCAGAGTCCGTTTCTCTTTTGTGATGGATGTTTTGGTATGTTTAAATATATGTCCTTGTGGGACGTCGACTCCACCGGTGATCATATGAATGACCTGATGAGGTTCTTCAGGTTCATTCTTCCTATTTGCATCTCTTTCTCAGAAATGGTTCTTAGCCCGGTCACTGAGGAATTCACGAAGATGCCCTTCATTGAACAATAGGGCTACCTCCTCCCTAAGCTTCATGCAATCCTCGGTCCTATGCTCGTGAGTACCATGATACTTACATATTACGCAGTGATTCCTCTAAGAAGGGTGGGTCTGTACAGGCTTGGGTCATCTAGTATCTCTAACTTTGCCAATAGCTGAGACGATACCTGAGGCATCGACTCTAAAGTTGTATTCTTACAATTTGGCTGCCTCCACCAGTACCGAGCGCCTGTTGAACCCGGTTTTGCTCGTGAGTCCCCAGGTATGTTGGCCTCGATCACTCTTCAATCATTCCGAGGTGTATTACGCCTGGAAATGTTTCTTCTATCTTCGACGTACGGTTGATATCTTTACTTGTTGAATCTTGATCCCTGATCTATGTCCCTCGGGGGCTTGGCTACGAATCTATTAGGATGAACTGAGCCCGAGGGGGCTCCTAATTGGTCGTCCTCGACCCTAATTTTTGGCTGATAACGATTGTGCACATCTGACTATGTCACAACTAGATATTCAATCAAGTTCTGCTTCAGTTGTCGATATGCAATTGAGCTTCTTTCATTCAAACCTTGCATACAGACCTGAACTGCCCAGTCATTAGAGACCGATGGTAATTCCATCATTTCTATCTGAAACCAAGACACTAACTCCCTTGGCATCTCGTCATCCCATTGTTTTATTTGGAAGACGTCCGCTTTTCTTGTGGCCACCTTTATACCCCCGGCATGTGCTTTCACGAAGGTGTCCGCCAACATAGCAAATGAATCTATTGAGTTAGGAGCTAAGTTGTGATACCATATCATAGCTCCTTTTGATAATGTTTCACTAAACTTTTTCAATAACACCGACTCGATTTCATCGTCATTCAAGTCATTTCCTTTGATTTCACAAGTATATGAAGTTTTATGTTCATTAGGGTCAGTTGTTCCGTTGTATTTTGGTATATCGGGCATGCGAAATTTCTTAGGAATGGGCATCAGAACCGCACTTGGGGGGGGAGGTTTTTGTATGAAATTTTTGGCATCTAGACCTTTCAAAACTAGAGGAACTCCCGGTATTTGGTCTACCCGGGAGTTATAATTTTCTACCTTCTTATTATTGTCTTCTATCTTCTTTTCTCTTGACTCGATTATTTTAGTTAGTTCCTCGAGCATTTTCATAATTGTAGGGTCAGTCCCCGAGCCGCTTTCATCAGGCCTTCCTAGCACTGGCTCGTGCCAGGCATCTACTGGTTCATCGGTGTTAGGAGTTTTGTTCTGACTCTGAAGCTGAGCGATGTCGACTTGCCGAGCTTGCAGTATCTCGAATATCACTTGGAGGCTGACTCCTCCTTCTTCCATCCCTCGTGCTTCCTGGCCTCCTGCTCGGGCTTCCTTGTGTGCATTCCTTACGGGGTCTGCGCCTGCGTCCGTGTTTAGTGCATTGTGCGAACTGATGTTAACTGGATCCACGTTTGGCACTCCCTCGGGGTTGATGGGTGGTACACCGACCCCTATACTGCTATTTTCTCTAAGTTCCTCACTGTTATGACCAGGTGTGTTTTGTGTGTTAGACATATCTTAGCCTGAAATCAAAGAATCTTTAATAAGAAAAAGTGTGAAGAATAATGTGTGTTATCAGAAAACTAGCACTAAAAAAATCACTATTATCTTTAGCCCCACGGTGGGCGCCAAACTGTTTACCTTGAAAGATGAGGGTAACAATTAAATGTAATTTGTGGTTTTAAAGATATGTAATTTATTCTAATACTAGTGAATATTCAAGTAATATTATGTTTAGATAAGAAGAATTGATGAACCAAACCAGTGTTGTTATAACAATGAGGACCTCGAGCTCGACATTCTTGGGTAACAAGTAAATGTAATTTGTGATTTATTCTAATACTTGTGAATATTCAAGTAATATTAAGTTTAAATAAGAAGAATTGATGAACCAAATCAGTGTTGCTATAACAACGAGGACCTCGAGCTCGACTTTCTTGGGGGCCTCGAGGTAAACTAAGAGCAACGAAGCATGAATAATAAAGTGAAAACAATAAAGCTGAAGAACACTTACTGAGCATGGTAAATAAGAAAAGCAGAGTAGAATATTCTATTGCAATGAATAATGTGAGATGATCCTTAAAAAATGATTGGGATCCCCTTTATATAGTAGAAAAAACCCCAAATATAGTACATTCCTAATTGTAGTAAAGAATTCTATTGGTACAAGTGTACAATAACTTAGTACGGACCTGTACCATTTCGTACAAATCTTATCCTTTAATTTATACCCTGACCCATGTGTCCTTGAGAAATCCCGCTCTTTCTTAAGTGCCCTCGAGATTGTACTGCCCTCAATGTCGGTGAAGCCAGGCCTTCGATCTGCTTCCTCGAGTTGTGCGTCCCTCAATTGGGTCTGCCCCGAGTAGCTCGGACTCGGACTCATAGCCCAATTTATGGCTTTGAAATCGGACTCCATGATTTTGATCGTATACATATAAATATGGTCCAAACCCTCAATGTCAATGCCGACACTGTTGCTGTCTCCTTGGTTGCCAGAGGCAATAGTCCCAGACTGAAATCGTCCACGAAGTTAGCCAAGATTTGCTACTTAATTGAAGTCCTCGGTTTATATTCTATGTCGAACTCGCTCATTTCAATGGCCCATTTGGCAAACATACCCGAGATCTTAGGTTTATGGAGGATGTTCTGCAAAGGGAAAGTAGCCACCACAACTATCAGGTGGCATTGAAAGTAAGGCCTTAGCTTTCGAGCGGCAACTACAAGAGCTAAGGCCAGTTTTTCCAAATGTGGGTAGCGAGTTTCTATTTTTTCAAGTCCTTCAGGGCATGCTGACATTCTGGTGTCCATTCTAAATTATTTTTCTTTTTGAGCAGTGCAAAAAAGCATGACATTTTTTCGACGATCGGGAAATGAACCTGCTCAAAGATGCTAATCTCTCTTTGAGCATTTAGACTTCTTTTATGTTTGACAATTGATCCGAGATATCCTCTATGGCCTTGATTTTGTTGGGGTTTACCTCAATTCCCCTTTGTGAGACCAGGAATCCCAGAAACACCCGAACCAACCCGAACGCGCACTTCTCGGGGTTAAGTTTCATGTTATGCTTCCTCAGGATGTCAAATATTTTTTGCAAATGCTTAAGGTAGTCACCTGCATTCAAAGACTTAACGATCATATCTTCTATAAATTTTCTTTTCGAACATCTTATTCATGAGTCATTGATAAGTGGCTCCGTCGTTTTTCAACCCAAAAGTCATCACATTGTAACAATATGTACTGAAATTCCTTATAAAAAGTCGTTTCCCAATCTTCTAGGTTCATCTTGATTTGATTGCACCTAGAATAAGCATCGAGGAAACTCATTAAATTGTGCCTAGAAGTGGGAACGAGTCTTTCGGGCACGCCTTATTAAGATCCTTATATTCTACGCACATGCTAAATTTATTGGTCTCCTTAGTAACTACTGCTACATTACTTATCCAGTCCGGATACTTTACCTTTTGGAACGAACCGATATTGAGTAAGCGGGTTGCCTTTTCTTTGATGAGTTTATTCTTGGCTTCAACAATAGAGAGCTTCTTTTATCTTACCAAAGGTATGCTAGGATCGAAGCTTAATTTGTGCACGACTACCTCCATCAGGATACCTGCCATATCCTCGTGTGACCATGCAAAACAATTAGCATTAATTTTAAAGAATTCAATAAAATCAGACCTGAGCTCTGGGTGTATTCTTGTTCCCAAATGGAATTTCCTTTCTAGGAATTCTTTGAATAAAGCAACTTTCTCTATTTATTCCGCCGTGGATTTCATTGCGTTCGTCTCTTCTAAGACTTAGAAATACCATGACACCTAATACTGTTCCAATTCCTCTATCACGAGGCTAACTTCCTCTAGTTTGGGGGCAGGTTCCAGTTCCAGTAATTGCTATGCCGCGCGCTCCTTTCCTTTGCTACTAGAGATCGAAATTGCATTCATATCCCTTGCTGCCGGTTGATCACCCCTTATCTGCTTGATCCCCTCGGGTGTCGAAAATTTAAATAATCGGTGATACGTTGAAGGCACAACTTTCATCTCGTGTAACCATGGCCTTCCTAGGATAATATTGTACCCTATGTCTCCATCTACAACTTCGAAGAGAATTGTTTTCATTACTCCTTTAGCATTTGTGAGCAGCAAAATCTCTCCCCCGGTTGTCACGCTCGTGAGGTTGAATTCAAAGAGGAGCTTTGTTGCCGGAATAATGCTTCTGGTGAGTTTAGCTTGTTCCAGTACTCTCCATTGCATGATATTAGCTGAACTTCCTAGATCCACTATAACACCTTTAATCTTAAAATATAATACATTTAAAGAAATTACCAGTGCACCATTGTGTGGTAGCAGCAATCTGTCTGCATCTTCCTCCATAAAAGTGATATTGTATTCTCGGAGCCTTTTACTATTAGTTTTTGATTCTTTCATATTCTTTGTAGCCGAAAAGGTGACTCCATTAATCTCATTCCCTCAAAAGATCATGTCGATCGTTTACCGTGGGGTTTCTTCTCTTGCTTTCGAGGTTTTCGTGTTGTCTCTATTCCGACCATAATTGTTCTTAGCTCGATCACTTAAGAACTCTCTGAGGTGACCATTCTTCAATAGAGTTGCCACTTCTTCCTGGAGGTATTGGCAGTCCCCCGTCTGTCCGGGATCAGATCTCATTGGTCTAAAAAATCATGCCTCTTTGATATTTCTCATGGCTGACACCAATTCCACTATATTGACATTGAAGTTATATTCTGATAACATGGGGTAAGAAAGATCCCGTGACCCTAGCATTTTTTTATCCTGCAATAGTCTATTGTTCCGACCGCGATCAGTCATTCTATCAACTATGAGCTTGTCTGCTATCCGAAAGCTTCTACAACGACCTTCAGTCTGCTCGTAGGGCAAAAACTGGCCCATAGAAGTTCATTTGTCTATGTCGTAATCATCCTTTGACTTTTCTCCGTTCTTCTCCCGTCCTTTGGTCGACAATGGAAAATAAACTTGATCATCTTCGATCCTTATTTTTTACTTTTACCAGTTATGGATATCCACCCAAGTGTTTTCTTGAAACTCAAGTAGGCTTTCTTTCAATTTCTTAGAAGCATCTGAACTTCTCAGATTCAATCCTTTGGTGAATGCTTCAGCTGCCCATTCATCCGGGACAATCTTGAGCAACATTCTTTCCTTCTGGAACCGGGTAACGAACTCCCTCAATAACTCGAACTCTCCTTGCGCAATTCTGAATATATTAGCCTTTCGGGAATGTACTTTTCTGGCCCTAGTATGGGCCTTAATGAAAGGATCCGCGGGCATTTTAAAGGAATCTATGGAATGCTCGGGTAACAGCGAATACCACGTCAAAGCTCCTATTATGAGAGTTTCTCCAAATATCTTTAACAACACATATTCAATTTCATGAGGAGCTAAATCATTTCCTTTTACCGCTATTGTGTAGGTGGTAATATGCTCCTTAATGTCTTAAGTTCTGTCATACTTTGGCACTTGGGGCATTTTAAACTACTTCGGGATTAGTTCTGGTGTAGCACTTAGCTTGTACGGCAATTTAGTATACCTCTTCGAGTTCGGGCCTTTCAATACTGGTGGCACGCTCTGAATTTGGTTCGTGCGGGATTTTACTTCTTCATAAACCATAAAAGTTCATTCTTGAAAGGATCGTTCTCGTTATTGAGACCAGATTCGCTCCCTCTAGCCCCATCAGAGAAAACTACCCTGGTAGTATTGATGTCGACCCTCTGCGTTGTTTGGTTTGCAGGAACACCTGGAGGAATTGTATTTCATTTGTTTGCATTATTCGAAGCCCCTGATAGTGCCTGCTTCAACTCTGTCATAACCTTGCCTTGTCGCGTGAGATTGCCTAGAATGATCGCCTATTGTTCTTGCAAGACCCTTACCGCTTCGATGACATGCTCCTCTTTAGCATCATCGGGAGTTGTCTACCGAACATGTAGAGGATACTATCTATCATGCACTAGTGTGGCGTCATTCCCCTCGTTGTGGGTGTCACTGATTGAGTCCTCAAAGTGAGGATACTCTAATTGAACCTTAGGGTTATGTGTGTTATTAACAATGTTACCTGCCATTTCTTATGATTTTCTTTAAGACAAAACAATTAAAGTAGGTTAGTAAAAAAGACAAGGATCAATTTAATTGCACGACTATATAGGCCCCATGGTGGGCACCAAACTTTTACCCGTAAAACGGTAGAGTTGAATTTATACATGGTTTCTAGACAAATGAACTAACTTGATACTTCAATAAAGAAATAACTGAAGAAATATAAAATACTTAGCCTTAAAATGTAGATGAAATAGCAGAGTTGACGGATCTGGCAACAAGGTTTTCGGGCACAACAATGATGAGATCAAAAGCAAGAAAATAAAACTGTATTAAGCTTTGTATAGAATGTAGTATAAGTTAGCCAGAAAATTCATGTCCTTTACATTGATAACTGAGCTCTCTATTTATAGCTATGTCTTAAGAAGGAGGTCCTAGGATCGTGCCCTACTTTAATGTCAAATATGAGGGCCATTTATGAGATGTAACGGTGGACATAAATGCCAAATTTGTTTTAACGAGACGTAGCCCTTAATGCTGCAGAATATTTTTTTATTAAATGCTATCGGGCGCAGAGCATTTAATACACCTTTACGATCGTTATTCCTTTCGATGATAAGTGGAATAGCTACGTCTGGTTCCACGTATTTGTCATCTTTAGAATATTTGTCATCTCCGTCTTCGGTTCCACGTGTTCTTTCTTTAGACGACCACGTGTCATATCGTATTTTACCCTATACATACTGTATTCTGCATTGCTATTTACTCTTCTACCTTTTATGGTTTGTTCTCTTTCATTTGTTGATTTTATCAAAATTCCATATGCCTCTTAAAGATGTATCATTTTCACTAACTGGTAATTGATTAAGAATCACAAACTGTTTTGTTTTTAATAGCGTTCACACTATGCTTCTCCCTCTAGATTGAATTATCTTATCAGCCAAATCGATAACCAAATCAATAATAATCAATAAATGATTATCGATATACAATAAGAAATATTTATTAGTTTATCATATTTATAAATCGATAACCGATATTGCCGAACCGATATCATTCGTAATCGAATTGAATCGAACCGACCCGACCGATCTACTCCGAACAAAAAATATGTCTGGTAAAATATTTTCCTAGAAAACACAGGGTGTTGGGTGTTGGGGTTGGGGTGGAGGTCAGAGAGGGGGTTGAGTTGTGACATAGGTGGTTGGATTGATGGGGCACATGGACAAAAGGGGTGGTAGGTGTGGGTGGTGTAGCAACCCCTTGGGAGGATATCACTTATAAGACAAAAGCTAATTTAATACTTACAACATTTGGAAGAGATTAGTTTAAAAAGACATTCACAATAATAAAGTCGCAGAAATAGGCATTGCGATAAAGGTTTTAAAGTGCTATATTTTTGTATGTGAAAAGACACTTCGTAAAAATCCTTAAATGAAATACAATATTAAAAGATCAAGATAATGTGATACAACCCTTCTTAAATAACCAACACGTTAAAGTAACTTCCTAACGAAATTATACTTTTCGTTCAACATCACTACAAGTTCATATTGTACATGAATTCTAGTCTTCTCCTCTGTACATATTTAAAAGACAATGTAAAGTTAGCATATTACAAGACTTGAATTATTAACACACCCTAAAGCAGCAAAACAAGTCAAATTCAAATGACAAGTTTATGGTCTTGAGATCCAACAAGCCTCCAAAATTACATACATATGTATGATATATAGATCGTGAACAAGTTCCAAAACTATACAAAACCTAGATGCATATGTAAATGTGATCTCCACAAAATTCCCAAAAAGTCTACTTCAAATCTCATTCCGTGAATTATCTACAATAGAAAACAATTATCACTAAGTATAAAGCTTAGTGGCATATAAACTTTGAGCTTTGAGCCATTAAATTCTCCAATTCCATTCGATGTTATAGGTAGCTCAAATAAGACATAAAGATAAATCAAGAATATAAATATATCAAAAGAATCAAATTTCAAACTTTCAAGTATTTCCAAATATGAATATGAATATTTAAAGCTCAACTGTCAGAAAGCTTATAAAATCAATTCAAGGGAATTTGCAAAATGTCAAGTTTCGCCTAATATGTACGTAATGACATCACACTAAGAACAATCAGATATCAAGATGGGACTTGTCAAGAGACTGAAGTCCCAAATCAAGTAGGATCGAAACCCAATAGTCTAGAGAATCAAAACCCATATTAAAAATGGCTTTCTAGTTCATACTTAACATGGACAAGTTCCACAATTTAAGCCAAGATGGTAAAAGATCCGAATCAAAAGACATTCCGAGATAAGTGACAAAGTCACTATCACAAGAAGGACAATGTCTCAACAATGATACAAACAGATCAAGTAATTCGTACAAGTGGGCGAGTTAGTCAATATCTTGCAATACTTGATCAACACAAATACAATGATATATATTGAAGACAAGGGAAATAAAAGCTTAAGTTATTTCAAAATATTTCAACAAGTAAAAAGTGTACAACTTCAAGTTTATACACAAACCTTGATGTTTTACCACACAACATATTCTACCATAACTTAAGGAGTTCGGGTCTTCTATGCCATAGATCAAACAAAATTGCAACTTTCTCAAACAATTCCTCTTAGCTTGTACAAGGGTGTGTGTGTGTGTGTGTATATATATATATATATATATATATTTACGTATAACATGATATCGGTAAAAATCACCCTAAATCATCAAAACAAAAAATCTAGACAGTACCAATGACTTGTATTTTGACTCCATTTTGAGGATTTAACGGAAACACTAGATTTTTTGGTCTTCATAAGAGTTGTAGATATATGTCTTAGGGTTTCAGGGAGCATTGAATCACCCCATATCAGTTTCTTATAAAATATTATATGCTCAAAATAGTAACAATGGTACATGAAAAGTTTGTAAAACAAAAAATTTAGGTAGCACCTGCCTTGTACTTCATCATCCCTTTTTAGGTAAATACAAGCAAAATTAGATTTAGGAGATGTAAAAGAAGTTGTATTAATATGAAATAGATTTCCAGAATATATTGGTTCACTTAAAACGGAGTTGTACACAAGGAGATATGCTAAAAATACTAAAATATGTACAATGCAAAAAATGGAATTAGCAACCTTACCACCAAATAAAGAAGTAACTTGTACTTCACCAAGAACTAGTTTGGCTGGTTGGTTTACTGAATTGCTTTGATGGTTTTCATATAATATTTCATATGATAAAAAGGAGAGAGGATTGAGATTTTCTTTGCCATGGAGGAATGAAAAATAAGAGGAGGTTATGGAAAAGTATGTCACAAAATATCACGACCCAAAATTCATTAAGGTTGCG